GAATCAAGAAATTTGGTTGCATGAAATTAGTTCCTTAATTCCTCTTTAAAGTTCCACTCAACAAAAAAGTACCTATGTATAACACAAAACCATGGCACTTAAATCCCAACTGGTATTCTCCTGTCCAAGCAGCTCTTTGCAGTAGTGATGTGGCATCGGCTGTCTAAAATACATTGTGCCCTCTTTCTTATAAAACTCAGTGATGCACCTCTAAATTGAGGCGTATCTCAAGGCATTTGGGTTTTTTAAGGAGGCTCTTTTGCTGAATACTTTTCTCATTGTTTTCATTACTTTGCTGGTTCTGTTTCATCACAAAATGAGGAATTTGGCTCCCTATATCATGCATAAGACAAGTTCTAGCAACAAGTGTTGTGTATATTCAATTATAAGAAAATGTTGATAAATCTATACCCAGTAAAAAAAAAAAAATCTTAAGTCGTGGCTGTAGGACTATGGATGTATCATTAGTTGATAGTCCTCACTGCTTTAGAAGGCTGGGGAGCTCTGCATCTTGTTTGTTTTCCTTGCGCTGCAAAGCAGGAATCCATGTGCCGTCTCGGTGAAGTCGTTTCCCTGGAACATTAAAAATGTGCTCGTTAAAGGCATGCTGCAGCTTGAACTGTGGTATGTGTTTGCAGAGGTGTTGAATGAGGAAAAACAAGGCATCCCAGCTGTTGGATTTGCTTTGCCTGTGGGCGAAGGCGTTTTTGATTTATATTGCAGTATACCCATTTCATAAGTTTTGTTTTTTTTGTATGGTGGTTAATGCTATAAATATTTCAACATGTAAACTCAACCATCTCGATATCCCAAGTCTTTCTCACAGAGAAAAAAAAATTTTTTTAAACACCAAAGCATGTTTTTATATGTGAGAAGTGTGTTTTCATCCACAGTGAACCTATTTTTTTCCCCCTCCGCCATAGTTTGAAGAGGAATGCTTTCCTGTGTTGCTGCTTGGTAGCCTTTGTGTTTCTTTGCCAGGTAGAACACTACCTACATTTGCATGCGCCTTGCAGGACTGTCTGGCCTTGATTTGCATTGTCTCTTTGTTTTTGAAACCCTTCAATTTCCCGAATCTCCCTTCCTGAAAAAACACAAATCCTATTTTCCACACTCATGGCCTTACTAAATTACTCTTTGTCCAAAGGGAAAGCATTGTTTGGTGTATGCAGGAAGAAATCAAGAAACAAAGCATTGTTTTTGGATTTTCTTCTCCCCTTCTCCACCAGTGGAAAGCATACAAGACCTCCAACCAAATTCCAAAGGAGGTTACTCATAGCTTGGCCAACAGATCCAATCACTGTGGAGACTGGAGTGCCGTGTTCTCACACTCAGCTATCCTCGTTTAGCTTTTACAAAAATAAGTTGGCCTGCTAGAGTTTTCCTTCATGCTAAGGCAATCCAAGAGTTATTAATTCACATTCTCCAAAACCATCATTTATGAGTGTGTTTCACTCCTCTGCGTTATTCCTCTTAAAATTAAGGGTTAATATGAAATGCATTCATTTCCACACTGTTTCCTACTTTTTTTTAATGAATAGATTTAAGAAATACTGTTGGTCATTTGAGTCAAAAACAGTTGATTTAAATGGATGATTTGGGTCTGGTTAACTTTTTTATTTTTTAGCCGTTTATTTCAAGTTTCAAATTCTCTTCAAAACAAGAAGTGTAAAATACATCACTTTGACTTTATGCGAGTCCCTGGTTGTTGTTTTTTTACTTTAAATAATTTCTTTAGAAAAATGGAAGGAAAAGAGAAAAAGCTCTTTTTGTGTGAGCTTTTCAGAGGTGATTCACATCTCTCTAATATAGGGTTGTTTATTTTTTTCATTATTTTAGATTTTTCTTTCTCTTTTGTCTCCAAGGAAAGAGAGAAATTCACTGGAGAAAAGAAATGCTCCTTTGATGTATCTATTTTTATTCAGACTTTATAAATGAGACCTACAGCAGGGCAGAAAGCAGCAGAAAAAAGGGAGCTTAATAGAGGAACCACGTTAATCCTTTATTGAAATATGATAAATACATTTTCCAGGAACGCCTCATACAAACTTAGTTTACATTTTACCTAATAAACTCCAATTTCCCAGAAATAAAAATGGCAATTTTTTTTATGTAGGGTTGGCCTTTTGATCTTTTTTGTATATCCTTTTACAAAAATAGCAGGATTGACAGAACTCTGATCTTAAAGCTGAAGTCTGTAAGCCGCGCAGATGCTGTGAGAGGGGTGGAGCTTGGAGGTGGGGCATGAGTGAAGCAGAGAGGGTGGGGAAGTGGCGTGAAACCTGTTTTTCTTCAAATTTTCAGTCGAAGTCTGCTCTCTTCTCAATGTTACAGACTGCAGCTTTAATGGCTCTGGCTACAAAAATACTGATAACTTCTTTGGCAACAATAATATAGATTTCATAGAGCAGAGAGCTTCAATAGTGGAAGGGAAGTTAGCCGTTGACACAATTATGATGGTAATAAATTCTATTTAGGTTGCTCTACATGTCTTTGATCATGTCAATAAAACATCTATGAATGTTTCAGATGAGTCAACTGAATATGACTGAAACGAGTTTGAGATAGAAAAAAAAACAAATATTTCACATGGCCAACAATATAACTATAATATGGAGTAAAGCTTCTCAATCAGTAAACTCCCTCACCAAGAAAGCCCAGCAAAGGATGTACTTCCTGCAGCAGCTGAAGAAATTCAACCTGCCCAGGACAATGATGGTGCAGTTCTACTCCTCCATCATTGAGTCCATCCTCACTTCCTCCATCACCATCTGGTACGCTGGTGCCACCGCTAAGGAAAAGAGCAGACTGCAGCGTGTCATCCGGTCTGCAGAGAAGGTGATAGGCTGCAACTTCCCATCTCTCCAGGAGCTGCACGCCTCCAGGACTCTGAGGCGTGCAGGGAAGATTGTGGCTGATCCCTCGCACCCCAGTCACAAACTATTTCAGTCACTACCCTCTGGCAGGAGGCTGCGGTCCATCAGGACCAGAACCTCCCGTCACAAAAACAGTTTTTTCCCATCTGCTATTGGCCTTATTAACAAGGCCAAGACCCGCCCGTGACACTGGACAATGTTTCTCTCCCCCATTCAGGATTTCTGCGTTACATTAACGCACAGTCTACTGTTTGTATATAGCTTCTGTGTATATATATATATGTATACATATATATACATATATATACATATATATATATACATATATATACATATATATACATACATATATATACATATATATACACATATATACACATATATATATATATATATATATATATATATATATATATATATATATATATATATATATATATATATACATATACATACATATATATACACATATATATATATATATATATATATATATATATATATATATATATATATATATATATACATATATATACATACATACATATACATACATATATACATATACATACATATACATACATATATATACATATATATACATATACATATACATACATATACATGTATTCTATCTTATTTTGTTATTTTGTTTTGTTTTTGTTTTTTTTTGTCTGCACCAACAACACCAAGTCAAATTCCTTGTAAGTGCAAACCTACTTGGCAATAAACTTGATTCTGATTCTGATTTTGTAGTGTTTGTGTATTTTGTGAAATGATCAAAATGATCGGTCTGTCACAGATCTGCCTGTATTTCGTTCATTCACCTGTTTGGGTCGATGAAGTTGAAAATTAGATTTTGCTCTAGCTCATTTCGTCTAGTGCATTGCTTTTGTTTTTCCTTGAACTATTTTAGTTAAAAAGCTGAGCAGAGCACTTTTAGTTACAGAGTGAAATAGCCGTTATAATTTATTGTTTTGCAAACGCATGCCATTTACTGTGAATTTGTTTTTGCTGCAGGGTTGTTTATAATGGATGGAACAGATGTTTATGCTTCAGGCTGTTGTGCTGATGGCAGAACAAAGCTGAACACCCCAGTGTTTGAGAGCATCAGCTGAAAAACAGCTCAGCATTCATTTATTCAAAAGACAGTGGGCAGCAGAGTGGCCTGGTAGCAGCATGAAACAAAACCCCCCAAAATATGCAGCCCTCTGCTGCTCACCCCTTTCAGCCTACATAAAAACAGAAGTCATATTTTGGTTGGCTCAGTCTTTGAGGAGCCTTTTCCTTTGTTTGGCTTGATTAAAGACATAACATTGTCAACATAAGCCTTTTATTTTTAAGATCTCTCACGTGCTGCTCAGGTTGTCTTAGGCAAAAATCTCTCAAGTGTTTTCAGACATTCTGTACATTTCCACTCTGAACCAGGAAACACAGCCTCTCTCCCCCCTTTTATTTAACTCTTACATTTCCTCTTTGATTTTTACAGCACTGCACATATTTCCAAAATGTCTACATGAAATGTTACAGTTATATCCTTAGATAAAAACTGTAACTAGATCAGGGTCGTAATCAATTCTGGAAATTCCCACCAAAACATATGAGCTAGAGGGGATATATTCCACACGCCCTGCTGTCAAGACATGCCTGCTATGAAACAATACCAGTCAGATTCCTGGATGTTTTGTACAGACCATCACATTTTGGATGAAACTATTGGTGCTGCATTGTGCACTAGACCTTAGTTTGCCTGTGGTTGCATGTTTAATATTATATTCCTTTTCTCTGCCCTTACATTCCTATATTTGTGTCGCTGCTATTAATGAGTTAAACATTTGTTTTTGATTAGGGAAGAAATTTAGAGATTAAGTATTTATTTTCCTCTGGTTAAATAAATAATTAAATGCTTTCTTACCCATTTAACTAGCTTCAACAATAGATGAGCGTTTCCTATAACTTTTTTTAAGGAAATCCTTATGTAATCTGAAAATGAATGAACTTGCTGGAACTATTTGATTTCCTTCTGCTCTGATTACTGGAAGGAAACCTGAAACCGTGAATTATCTCTATAGTTTATGTCCTGCTTCACACTATTGTTCCTCTTTTTTGCCCTTTCTTTTCCAGGCATACGAACGCCGCTTCCCCACCTGTCACCTCATCCCCATGTTCGTGAATAGTGACGTGGTGAACGAGGAGACGAGCGAAGACGGCTCCATCCACAGGATCGAGCGGCGTTGCGCTTTGGATGTTGATGCTCCACGTCTACTTAAAAGGGTCAATAATACCTGAACTCTTTAGCCCTTAGTTTAACTTTTATAGATGCCTTTTACTAATTTCATGCTATTCCTTTGTAAGTAACTGAATTTTTTTTTTCTGTGGTTCACAGATTGCTGGTGTAGACTATGTGTACTTCACCCAGAAAAACACGCTGAACAAAAAGGAGAGAACTCTGCACATTGAATCTCACAATGAGACGTTTTCCAACAGGGTCGTCGTCCACGAGACCTGCTGCTATTCAGTCAGTATTCAATTCAATTCAGTTTATTTATATAGTGCAAGTTCACAACACACGTCATCTCAAATCATTTTACAATTCAACCAGATCATACAGTCAGATTGGTTTAAAGTTTTCTTTTTAAGTAAAATCAGCTGATTGTATCGACTCATTGACTCGACCACAATCCTTCAGTATCATATAACTATGCTGCCATACAGAGCCACTTATAGGGCATTTAGGAAAGGCAATAATACAATTTTATCTTTAGAGGCACAGGAAAGTACAGATAATTTGTAATTGCAGTTTTGTGGCTCAGAACAACACAAGCCAGAGTCAAAATCTTTAAGTTAATGTCAATTTTCTCTTAAGGATTCTCTGTTATAAAAAAATAACTCAAATACTGATTTACAACTAGCATCGCTTCCCAGTTCCCCCTCCTTCACCAGCAGTGTATCTGACTCCAGATCTGTCTGTTCATGTGTGGAAGTGTTATGAGCTAATGAGGCCAAGCTTATCGTATTAGCTTCCAACCGACTAGAATGCTAATTTTAGGTCCAAAGCCACACAGAGGTTCTTTGCAGGGTGCTGTGTCACTCTGTGGTAACGGTAACCAGGATGGACAGTGCAGTTAGGCAGCTAATGGACCTGATATGTTTTAGTACTCAAGGGCGATGAAGCTGCCACCACTTTGCCACCAGGATCAGGGATCTTTTGCAGTCTGGAAAAGTAGGAGATTTGATTTTGATTTCCAGTGGTGGTGTTCATTATTTCTTTCTTTCCTACTTTTTTCCCCCCCGTTTTTCCTTTTTCGTTTTTGCTCATTTCCTGCGTTCCTGCTTGCTTCCTTTGTGTGGTTTCTCCTGGATTTAGAATATGTATATTTTATCATGAACACAGTGGGTATACGTCTGTGGATAAAACTGTTCCAAAATGGACCAAGAACTTATCTATATCTTTATGTTATCTTTAGTCTTAAAAAGTGATTGAACCCTGAATTAATTATAACACATTTGATATTAAGATAAAGAAGTTGTTCAAAATATACATTTAATATGCGTGCCAGGCTCATAATAATGGATTGTTGAACATAAAATAGAAAAATGGGTATTTTCTCACACTGATTCATAGTTTCTAACCCTTGACTGGTAGAGCCTTTACATCATTCCCTATAAACATACAGTTTTATGTTTTATGTGTATTTTGTCCACGTTGAATCCAAACAGCTCATGTGTAAAGCTTTGGCTAAATTTACCCAAACAGACTGACACAAATACTCCCACTCTGTGTGAGAAATGCTGTATTTGTGCGTCATCGTCTTGTGTGGTCGCTATGGTAACAGTTGCCCTCTTCAGTGTGTGGGTACACACAGTTTAGGTTACAGCAGTGTTTTGCTGTGTGTCGTTTGCAGGTCCACCCAGAGAATGAGGAATGGACATGTTTCGAACAAACGGCCAGTTTGGACATAAAGTCCTTCTTCGGCTTTGAGAGCACCGTAGAAAAGATCGCCATGAAGCAGTACGCCAGCAGTATCAACAAGGTGTGTGTCTATGGGATTCAACCTCCTATTATGGGAGAGATTTAGGTGTTTTCTTTGCTGATCTGCAAGTGTATAAGTATTCAAATTATAGCTCTTAATTAGTTTACACGTTACAATGATTAATCTCCACAGAGTTTGATGGAGTTGTTGTATTTTAGGCTGCAAATATTCAGTTTTTATACATTTCAATTAGAGGAAATCCCATATAAACATGTTGTCAGTGATGTAATATATAAATCCACATTTCTTTACTTTTCAGGGAAAAGAAATCATTGAGTTCTACCTAAAGGAGCTTGAGAATGAGGGCGTCACCCATGTACCCCGCTGGTCGTGTTCCACCATTAGTCCTGCTCTCCCTGAACCAAACAGTCTCTCCACCAGCCCGCCAGAAATACAACACGCCATCACGCCTACCGTTTCTGCCTCACAGGCCGCTGAAACCAAAGATTGCGCCGCACAAGATGCAAAGCAGGATAATGGTGCCCCTCAGGCGGACAGCCTAGCAGAGATCCTGGCTGGTACACCTGAAGGTCTGTTTCCTCAGATAAATGAAAGCTGGATGTTGTTCCTCACTGCCTGCTTTATCTTGGGAGAGAATAGGGACACTTGCTTTATAAGTGCTTTACATGAAAAAAAAAAAGTTCAGATGAAAATTGTTTGCTGGTAGCGGCATGAATGAATTAAAAACATACATTTTCTGAAGATTTACACTAACAAACACATGCATGGATCTGTGTCTGCAAAAAAAAGTTAGATTAACTAGATTTGTTTTGAGTGTAAAATTCATTTGGGATTAAATTGCTGCTGTAATTGATAAACTTGTTTGTTTGGAACATTTTGCTGCAGACAAACTGGATGCAGACTACATCAAACGTTACCTTGGTGACCTGACGCCTCTACAGGAGAGCTGTCTCATCAGACTTCGCAAATGGCTTCAAGAGACACACAAGGGAAAGGTATTTGCAGTAATTAAGTGGAACAGTTTTCTTGTTGCTTTTAGCAACTTGTCAAAGACGTATCTGTTTTGCTCCTTTTAGATTCCCAAAGATGAACACATCCTGCGCTTTCTGCGAGCCAGAGACTTTAACATGGATAAAGCACGGGAGATACTGTGCCAGTCGCTAACATGGAGGAAACAGCACCAGGTGGACTACCTGCTGGAGACTTGGAACCCTCCACAGGTTCTTCAGGATTACTACACCGGCGGCTGGCACCATCATGACAGAGGTACACCGCAGCGCAGAGCCACACCCAAAGTCAGCTGCTGAAATCTCACATGCAAAAAATCCACGTGCAGCAGGCCTCCTTTACAGCTCGCTGCACGTTTAGACAAACAACCCATCCTTACAACAACTTTTAATCATTTGGCAGCACATTAGCTGTTCAGTCACCCTCAATATCCTGCTGCACTGACGCCAACATTAAGAGGAAAAATCAGCCCATTATGTTTACTTGAATAGTTTTTCCTTACGCACACGGATGTATGCTGCATTCTGGACTGTGTTTTGGGTTACTTGGTAGAAAACAATGACGTAAACTTCAATGGAACTATGCTTTAGTTCAAAGCAAGATAGCGTTTAATGGGAACAGAATAATAAACCATTTCCCAGAGCGTACGTTCACTTATTGTTCCACACAAAGCAGACCTTTCCACTTAACCTCTTTGTGTTGAATGTAAACATTGTGATTGATCGTGTCAATATTTGTTCTACTATATTAGACGGTCGTCCTCTGTACATCCTGAGGCTGGGTCACATGGACACCAAAGGTCTGGTGCGCGCCCTTGGAGAGGAGTCTCTTCTCCGACACGTACGTAGCCAAACCTGCAGTTCTGGTTCTGTTCCTTACAGAAGGTCGTTAGTTTATAGGTCAATGTTTAGCTCACAGGTTAAGGAGCTAATGACCTAATGAGGATGTTTGCCGCAGATGACCCACATTTATATCCTGTTGATGGTAAAGTTGGTTTTAATGTGACATTGCAGGTGCTGTCCATCAATGAGGAGGGGCTGAGGCGCTGTGAGGAGAACACTAAGGTGTTTGGTCGACCTATCAGGTAAAAAAATGCTTTTTGTTTTGTTTTTTTACCTCTGGATGTAGGAGATACAACTGCCATTTCTAATAGATGTGCTGTAAGTGGCTGTGGCACTTATACAGATTAGCACCACGCTATATTCTCCATAGTTGGAAATGGCATTCATGACTCATATCTGGGTGCAGAGCATCACCGATCTCAGATGGGTAGATGGAGGCGCTCCACCAGGAGGTGGGCTGTGAGATAAGGGCTCGACAGACGGGCATCTCAACTAGGTGTCTCCGACAAGTTGCTGCAATCAGTGTTCACAATTACCCAGCATTACTTTCATCACTTACACCAGCCTTCAGGGTGTTAGGGGAGGAAAGGAGAGTGCAGGATACTTCTAAGTGTATTGTGTGCTGGAAATTATCCCCACTAATCCTCTTGCACCCTTCTCCGTAGCTGTTGGACTTGCCTGGTCGATCTAGAGGGGTTGAACATGCGTCACTTGTGGCGACCCGGGGTCAAGGCACTGCTGAGGATCATCGAAGTTGTGGAAGCAAACTATCCAGAGACTCTGGGACGGCTGCTTATCTTAAGAGCGCCAAGAGTTTTCCCTGTCCTCTGGACCCTGGTGAGAACTGATGGGGGGGACACCAAACAGCCTCTGCAGTTAGATTAAAAACCAATGTCTCATTTGAACCAAACACAACCAAACACCTGCTACCCTGGTGAATTATTTTATTTTATTTTTTTAAATACTTTTTAACTCTGATTGCAGGTGAGCCCGTTCATTGATGAAAACACCCGAAAGAAGTTCTTGATCTATGCAGGCAATGACTACCAGGGTCCTGGAGGGCTTGTTGATTACATAGACAAGGAGATCATTCCGGACTTTTTAGGAGGAGAGTGTATGGTAAGTGTGGAGTTTTGCTGATATTTTCAGACTTAAATCCTTTTTAATTTTGAACAACCATAAACATAAATTCATTATCTTGGGACAGACCTTAAAAGAGTGTAGGGTTGTCACCATACTAAAATTTTAAGCTCAATATTGACATCCAGGAAAATATTTCATATTGGATTCCAATTTTGATACCACTGAGATAAAGAGAATATATTATTATTATTATTATTACTATTATTATTATATATTATTATTTTATATTATTATTAAATAAAGGCATAAAAAACACTTTTTTTTTATAGGGAAAGGCTGACCTTTTTCAATCTCACCATGAAACATGCTTTCTCAACAGAATGGCACATATACTTAAATAAATGGCCAAGAAATCTAAGATGAACAATGGCCAAAATGCAAAAAACACTTATCTTTAGTATTGATACAATACCAAATTAGTATTGTAACCAAATGCAGCATTTGAGCATTGATAATTTTCATAGTATCAAAAGTTCTGACAACCCCAATGGAGTGAAAGCTAAAAGACTCATGGTCATTACTTCTTATTCTTTAACAGAGAAAACTGAAATGTCTTTATTGAAAAAGACCCATTTTTCCATCCATGTCAAGTTATGCACCATTTCTTGTAGGTGTATCACATAAAAACCCAATGTTATCAGTTAGAATTTGAGATTGACAAGACAAAGTCTTAGTAATATTTAAGAGGTAGGGAACACTTTCCAAAGCTCTTAATATTTGAACGTGATTCTTGTAGCTCACAATCTAGCTGGAGAACTCTCTTCAGTGACTCTGTTATTTGCTTTGCGTGCTTTTCTTCAGTGTGAGGTACCAGAGGGCGGCCTGGTTCCTAAGTCCATGTACCGCACAGCAGAGGAGCTTGAGAACGAGGATGTCCGTCTCTGGACTGAGACCATCTATCAGAGTGCCAGCATCTTTAAGGGCGCGCCACATGAGGTGAGACTCAACACCCACTGGAGTAAGAAATATATACAGAGGAGCTTTAAGGGTTTGGTAAATCTGCTGCCATCTAGTGGCAATGGGTTTTAAATTATTCCCTGTGACAAATAAGCACCCATTATAATCAATAGGGGCATTTCCACTGGCTCCGCAGGGCTGCGTTGTCTGGATGGCAGGACAGTTTGACCCCATTCTATTTTTGCCAGAGCCAGGCTGGTGTTTATCTACTCCGATCTGAACTGAATGTATTTGAAAACCAATCTGTCTGCTGTGACATACTGTTCCTATCATGTTGCATAATTTAAACCGGTGGGACAGATGTCACCTATAATTATCCCTCTAAGCGGATCTCACTCTGCTCTCCCTGAAGATATATAAATACATTTAAAGTCAACTTTAGATGTGATGATGTACATTTAGCTTTGTCTTTCTTAGATCTCAGTTTGTCTCTTTTTATAAATGCAAAATGTGTTTTACCTAGTTGCTGTGTGTACTTGAACCTTGCTCATTCGCTTCCTCCGAGCAGCTTGTGATCGAGATCATCGATGCTGCCTCAGTCATCACCTGGGACTTCGATGTGTGCAAAGGTGACATCGTTTTTAACATCTACCACTCCAAGCGGGCCCCCCAGGCCCCACGCAAAGACCCCCTGGGCACCCATGGAATCACCTCCCCAGGAGTCAACAACGTCCAGCTTATCGACAAGTCCTGGACTCTTGGGCAGGATTACAGCATGGTGGCATCACCTTTGACCTGCAAGGAGGGTGAGAGTGTGCAGGTGAGGGTCTATCATCATCAGGAAGATCTTATTTATTTTTAAACAAAAATACACTTTTTTGATGCTTTTGTCTCTAATAATGAGTTTAATTTCTTGCTCAGGGCTCCCATATAACCCGTTGGCCAGGTTTCTACATCCTCCAGTGGAAGTTTCATAACATGCCAGCCTGCTCAGCCACCAATTTACCCCGAGTGGACGATGTCCTGGCCACCTTGCAGGTGTCCTCACATAAGTGTAAAGTCATGTACTACACTGAAGTGTTGGGCTCTGAGGACTTCAGGTTGGTAACTGAGCTATTGTTGTTTTTTTATTTTCTCCACACGGTAAATCTGGTTATAGTATCGTAGTGCCTTACAACAGCACCCAAAACTTAGACTTTTTCACTTTGAATCAATCTACAGCCACAAATGTCAGCGTGTTTAAAAATGACTTAATGTACGGAAAAAGCATAGGATAGTAAAAGCAGATTATTTTGATGTCACAAAGATGTCAACATATAGCAAAAGACTTGGAAAAAACTATGCTTCTTGAAATGATTAACTGGGAACCATATTTCTGAGTTTTCCTCTTAGAAATAATGGAAGCCATCTGTCCTTTTCCTTCCACTTCATAATAAATCACTGCTGTCGGCCTGTTGCATAAAATCCCCCAAATTTTTCCTGCAAAGCGTCAAAATCTGAAAGTGTGAAAGGCACTATATGTGGAAAAGCTTAAACTCTGCAGTCCTTGTCCCTCCCTCTTAAGAAATACTTCTGTCCTCTAAATCTATAGATCCTTTTTTGTGAATCTTTTGTGGCTTATGGTTAAAGTTTCCTGTTCTATATCACAGACTTTTACTTGTTGGAAAAAACGTGACAATTTAAAAAATATTTTGTTTCTCTTTTTTATTTTTTTTTATTTTTTTTATTATCCTTTTAAATTATCTTTTTCTGTCCAATCCACTCCTGTTCTATTGCTCACAACCCCTTCCTCCTCCTCCTCCTCCTCCTGCTGTGTCTTCCTCCTATGAAGAACGGCTTGCTGTGATGTGCAGAGTTTGTAAGTGGCTCAGTGTTTGCCCTTTTTTTTTCTTTAGCTTAGCTCATAATTTTTTGCTGCTTTTGGCTGCTAAACAGAGTGCCCGCCCCCCCTCCTCTGAAGTCACGCTTCTAACACTGCGCAAAAAAAAAAAAACAAAAAAAAAAAAAAAACAAAAAAAAAAAAACTTCTTGTCTTGCTTCTTGTTAGCAATGCTAACCAAGCATTGAGTAACAGGACTTGTTTTTCTCACGCTGAAGAAATCTTTGCACCACAGTTTGGGGTCTAATCCAGTCTTTACTTATTGTGCTTGCATGATTAACTTCCTGTAAACACTTTCCCAGGTGGGCAACGTAAACACACTCATCAGAATTTGCTGGCTTTCAAATTTGCCTAATTTTTAGTCACTTGTAGAATCTTGTTTTGACGTCATTTTGTATCTCATTCTTTTCTTTATTTCATAAGAAAGAACTACAATCCTAACAGTCCAACTCATTTTAATTCTACCTAAAAATAAGACACTTTGCTGATATTAACCTAACTGATGAAGACATTAATATAAAACCAATCATTGCTTTCTTTATCTGCAAACATTTGAACTGGATTCAGTTTATAAGTATCTGCGCTAGATCCAGGGATGTGTGTTTAAGACTGCTTGGTCTGTGGGGGCCTGTAGTCTGAGCCATATGTAGGAAAGTTTAATGTTGGTTACCTGAGAACTGCTTGGCTTCTTTAGCAGCAGTCTTATGTTTGTCCAATTCAAAGTCAAATGAACAAATCCTACATCATGAATGTCCATTATCATCTCAGCCACCTTTCTTCTTCTTAGGAATTACCGTTATCCAGTGGATGATACGGCTCAGAGACTGTAGCTACAGATAATTTTTAAGCACATCTAAAATAAATGAATCAAATTGCACCTTTTTAATCTTCCTTAGCAAATGTAGATTAAAGGCTCCTAATGGGGAAATAAGGAGAGCAGATTAGTTCAGCCTTCCTGTTAACAGCTAAATGTCTTTCTCTCTCTTGCAGTCTGAATGAACCACAGTGCTACCTCAGCAGTGTAGCTTTGTTTCCTTGGTCATTTGTTACCACATGCTATTGACAGGGAAATTATTTGTTATCACCACCTGGACAAGAGCAGGATCTTAAGTCCCCCAAGGCTGGATCCTGTATGAATCTTCAATCTTAAGCCATTTTGATTTTAGCAGCATCTGTATCCAGTTTGAGTTATTCCCTGGAAATATATTATCTGTTTTACATACATGTAGGGTGATTAAAACGTTTTGAAGCTGCTGTGGTTTCTCACGGTTTTCATCGTCTGCTCAGACTTTAAACCTAAATGGAACCAAACAAGCATGCCTTATTTAAGGTTATTTAAGCCTCCCTATGATACTGACTTTGATGGTTTGAGTAAAAAGCTTTAGTAGGTGATGGTGTGCTGGTTTTGGTGCTGGAGCGTGTGGTGTAGCTGGAGCTTTAGACTGGGCTTCCTTCTGCAAGGTTGATCACAGTGCATGGTTCTGCATGAGTCATGCACACGTTTCAGACGGTTCTTAGCAGGATGCAGTTCAGCTCAGGTCAGTTTCCTATATTCATCCCGACCGTTTTGTTTTTCTCTCCTAGGGGTTCGATGACCAGTTTGGAATCAAGCCACAGTGGTTTCTCTCAGCTCAGCGCTGCTACCACATCCTCTAACCACTCCCAGTCCAGCTCCATGATCTCCAGGTAGAAACTGGCAGCAGCGGACTTCACACCCTGAACCCCTTCGATCCACAGCCTTTATTATCATCATCGTGGAAACCTTCTCCTTCCCCTACGATCCCTCTCGTCTTTGGACTCAAGTGCACAAATAAAAGATGAAGAGTTCTGAAACTGAGGCAAAAAAACCTGAACATTTTAGAGGGCTGAAATTTGCACAAAGGATAGATTTTGCTGGAGGTTCCCTTGCAAGGGTGGACATATAAGGTCAAAGGTGGAAGAGGAGAGAAGCAATATTTTCCTCCCATGGTTCCGGGGAGAGACACTGGAGGAAGCTGTTACATTTATGTTCACTTTATCTGCTACTCACAGCACTGAGACGACTTATACCTCACTCATGCTGTTACATTAAAAACGCACCCAAGTTTATGACATGCACAAGTTAATCTCTCCACACCGTTACTGAAAAAAGGATTTGTGTTACTAGTTAGTAGTTTATAGGTCAAATGTGGGTGGGTTAACGTCCTAACAGACCTGGCTCCGACATAAACTGCTAATAATTGAAGCTCACTGCATCATAGCTGTGCTTTTGACCAACAAACTTCCACACTTTGAGGAGCAGTGGAGTAATATACCCAGGTCTGTGATGTTGGGGAGTTAATCTGCTTGCTGCAGTAACGCAGGTTGGACTTATTACTGTGTGAAACCTTTATTTATTATTTAGATGCATGTAGAGTAGCACACAAGAAGACATAAAAAAAAAAAAAACTCCAACTAACATCCCTGCAGCATTTATGTCAGAGAAGGAAAGCGACCAGATTCCTGGCTGTGCTTGGTTTCCTTTCTATCTACAAAAACGGGGAATTTGGATCAAGGAGCGATGCCTCGTCTGATTGGTGAATGTGCTGCTTCTGCTAAGCCAATAATATGCCTGAGTTGAAGTAGTGGTGAAGTTGCTAGTGGGTGCTGAGGTTAGTTCTCCACGTCAATGTTGTGGATTTCAGATCGCAGGTATGGGTTGATGACATTAATCGTGTATTGTATGTGTGCTGGTTTGTGAAAGTTGTGGAAGCAAGAACGTGTGTGTGTGTGGGGGGGGGGGGGGGGGGGGGTCGTTGCGTTTCTGCACACACACAGGTTTACTGATTTATTATTTAAGAACTAAGAGAGCCATTTTTTAAGAGCCATGTGTCAATAAATGCCATTTTAGCCTTTGTAAGCATCACTTAGAAATGTTTCTGCTATTTTCAAGGTGACCACTGTAACATTTCAAAATGCAACACTTCCATGCAGCAGTTTGTAATAGTTTACTTCATATGTTTAACAAAAAACAGCAATTTTGTGGCAATAAGCCTCCTGTGGGGGGAAAGCTGATTTCAATATCCAGGACTGCTTGTTTATAACTATTAAAGGTCAGCAGTTGTTTGAGGGTCATTCATTGCAATAAAATGTGGAAAAAGGACCTTTTCAATGCAGAGTGGAAATGCGTGAGTGTGTAAAATAATGAATGTTTGCCATACAGTGGAAATGTATCTAATAGAAAGTCTTTAACGTTTTCTCACCCTGTAAGCAGATGTTTCCTAATTCCTTCCTTATTGTCGGGCGCACTTTGAGAGCTGCATTTATTTCAGCTACTGTTTGTTTTTCTGTGTTTTTTTTTTTTTCTTTCAGCTTTGGACTTCTGTTTTAGTCAAAATCAACACCAGTTTGTTGAGTAGCCGGCAGATTATCTCAATGCTTTTCATTTACATCACATTCATAAAATGAGGGCTATATGACCGTTTGTCTGGATTATTCAGCAGGATTTCTGTCTCCCTACTTTCCTTGCATATCGTGTCTGCATCTTCATGTGAGAAACTAGAAATACAAAAATACATTTTTGGACGAACAAGGAAATGTCGCCTTTATGTTTTGAAGTCAATAAACTTGAATTATGATGGAAACACCCAGGGAACTTCTGTTTATTTTCTCTATTTATCTTACCCATTGTTTAAGCTATACTTTGTTGCACAGGGATATGCACTAAGTAAAGAATTGGAGTAATATTACACCTCTACTCATTCAGATTTTTCTTTATTCCACATGCAGCACAATCCTGCATCGATTGTTTTACCTCCTACGCCACTAGAGGGCGTTTCTGTATTATTCACACTGATCTCTATTTGTCATCATAGACTCCACCCGGAAGTCTCCACAGTGTTTGTGGAATTCATGGTTTCATCAAACCTCTATTCACTGTTACAAACACAAATCAATAATTGCTCTGTGAAGGTACTGATAGGATCAGGTGGTGACCTGTCAGACAGCGGCTCGGGGTTCCTTTGTAGTACTAAATGCGATGAAAAAGAACCAAGTAGGCCTACTGGAGAAATGTTTGAGTACCAACATTTTTTTTTCCTTTATTTTCCAAAAAATACAGTCCAGTTTCTAACAATCACTGTTTTCTTTTTAGTTTTTATTTACATTAATTGATGTCCTAAATGTTATACTATCTGCTCAACTCTGCTGGCCAAATTTTACATCAGTTTAACTTTTTTTTTTTTTTTTTTAGTTTCCAAGTTAAAACTCTTGTCTAAGGAAGTTAAGGAATATTTAAGAAAATTATTTTTGCAATAAGTTCTCTGGACTGTCTTAGATCCAGATTTTGTACTGGATCTGTTGCTCTTAATCTGACCCTGATTTAGATCACAAAGCATTGAAATTAAAAGTTAGATTTATTTTAAATTAACCCACTTCTTGTTTCCTGGTTTGTTAACCACGCTGATGCTTAACCTGGATGCTGTTTTAAATGTGAATGTTTTATACTATGAGGTGCCCCCAGGGACATAAATCAGAATTAACTTGCATATACACATATTAAATTACACTCTTCCATATAATATACTGAAAACCTCACACAAACACTAGTAAAAAGCTCTCACATAAGCTAGTGAAAACATTTACCTCTTATATAATCTACTCAAAAGCTCTCATACAAAGTAGTGAGAACTGTTCATATAAACTGGTGAAAAGCTTTACCTTTCATACACACTACTAGAAAGCTTTCATATACACTATTAAAAAGCTCTCATATACACTACTAGAACACTCTCATATACACTATTAGAAAGCTCTCATATACACTACTAGAAAGCTCTCATACACTACTAGAACGCTCTCATATACACTATTAGAACGCTCTCATATACACTATTAGAACGCTCTCATATACACTATTAGAAAGCTCTCATATACACTATTAGAACGCTCTCATATACACTACTAGAACGCTCTCATACACACTATTAGAAAGCTAAAATATATGGTCCCCCTCCTTTAATTTAGGCAAACATTGCTCAAATATCACCGAATCCAGATGGTTTGTTGTTGATGAAGAGAGGAATAAACACAGCTTAAGATTTGCAGCTAAATTAATTTGTTTCCATATTATGGAACTGCTATCAGGCACTTCCTATCATCTTATATCAGTAATAAAAAATTATAAATACAAATTTGGTATTTGGTGACTTGACTTTTATTTCTGTCAGGCTGAAGTGAAAAAACTTGGAAAGAGACTGATTCTCTTGGCGTTTAAAATAACAACACAAAACAGCATAAGAAAACCGCATTTATTTTTTTTATTTTACAATTTTGTAAACAACAGCGGCTGATTAAACTATATGTCTCAACCTTGTATAATTTTACGACTTTTTATTTAACCAAGAAATGATCCGAAAGGCCTGGGAAATGATCAGATCCGCTTATGTGGCTGCAATGCGCGGCGCGCTCCCGACACAGGTGGAACAGATTTTAACATGGGAACAGAATTTAGCACAACACCAGAAAAGGATCTCTGTTGAAGCAAAAACATAAAAAATAAAGTCGAGTAATGCCCATGCTTCTGTGAGTTGTTTAGCGGATAGCTGAGCATGAATCAATAATTTTATTTGATACAATTTCGGCCGGAGATAGCACAAAATGTACGGAGCTAGCCAGAATGACGAAGGTACTTTTTATCAGTTTGATTAAACGGTATAATTCAACATGGAAAAAACAGAAAAACGTCCGTTTTCTCCTTTTTCTCCTCAGAAAACGAATCGTTTCCCGTTTTGTGGTTTCTGCACATAAAACCAAAATCCATTAAACGGCTTGATTTTGGTTTTTTCGTTTTCGCCCCCAAAACGAAAACAGCAGTCAATTTTCGGTTTCAGAAGTGGGCGTGGCTTTCAAGCCCGCCGGTCCGGTGCCCTTCAAAATAAAGGCCTGGCATGGAGAAACTTTCGTTGTATTTCCTGCCCTCATCGTAGCTTTTGCTTGTGTTCGAAATTAAAGCAGGTCTTATACATATATAAATATATACATATATTTAGATGTAATATATATTTATATTTTTTATAGCTACAGGGTTTACTCGGAATAAAGTCATCAGAGAGATTTAACTGCGACAGAAAAGACATGGGAAATTTGACACTCACGACAGGTATTTTAAATGACCAGCAGATGTCGCTGTGCATCAATGGGACAATTAATCGCAATATCAAGCGTATTTTACCACCTAATAGTCAATAAATGGAACATTTATGAAACGGAGTGCTGTGTGAGGAACTTCATTTTTGTGGCGGTAAAAAATCTGGAATTTATTTAGAGATATATCTGGGAAAACAGCCAATAAAAACAGGAGTGAGGTGAAAAAATTATAGATCTCTCTCTCTATCTCTCTCTCTCTCTCTCTCTCTCTCTCTCTCTCTCTCTCTCTCTCTCTATAAATATATATATTTATATATATATATATATATATATATATATATATATATATATATATATATATATATATATATTCACTTCGAATGTTGAATCACTGTGCTTTAACACATGTGGAATTATATAATTATCAAAAAAGTGTGAAACTGCAAATATATCTTAAATTCTAGGTTCTTCAAAGTAGCCACCTTTTGCTCTGATTACTGCTTTGCACACACTCTGCATTCTCTTGATGAGCTTCAAGATGTACTAGTTTGCCCTTTTGCTTTCACTCTGCGGTCCAGCTCACCCCAAACCATCCTGATTGGGTTCAGTTCCGGTGATTGTGGAGGCCAGATCATCTGGTGCAGCCCCCTATCACTCTCCTTCTTGGTCAAATAGCCCTTACACAGCCTAGAGGTGTGTTTGGGGTCATTGTCCTGTTGAAAAATAAAGGATGGTCCAACTAAACCAAACCGGATTGAATAGCATGTAGCTGCAAGATGCTGTGGTAGCCATGCTGGTTCAGTATGCCTTTAAGTTTGAATAAATCCCCTAACTCAGCAAAGCACCCCCACACCTCCTCCTCCTTGCTTCACGGTGGGAACCAGGCATGTAGATTCCATCCGTTCACCTTTTCTCCGTCATAAAAAGACACGATGGTTGGAACCAAAGATTTCAAATTTGGACTCATCGGACCAAAGCACAGATTTCCTCTGGTTTAATGTCCATTCATTGTGTTCTTTAGCCTAATCAAGTCTCTTTCGCTTGTTGGCTGTCCTTAGCAGTGGTTTCCTAGCAGCTATTTTACCATGAAGGCCTGATTCACACAGTCTCCTCTTAACAGTTATTCTAGAGATGTGTGTGCTGCTAGAACTCTGTGTGGCGTTGACCTGCTCTCTAATCTGAGCTGCTGTTAACCTGTGATTTCTGAAGCTGGTGACTCTGATGAACTTATCCTCCGCAGCAGAGGTGACTCTAGGTCTTCCTTTCCTGGGGCGGTCCTCATGTCAGCCAGTTTCTTTGTAGTGCTTCATGGTTTTTGCCACTGTACTTGTGGACACTTTCAAAGTTTTCCCAATTTTTCAGACTGACTGGCCTTAATTTCTTAAAGTAATGATGGCCAATTTTTTTTCTTTACTTAGAATTTGTATTATGGCAAGAAAAAAAGCAGCTAACAGTCTATTCAGTAGAACTATCAGCTGTGTATCCACCTGACTTCTGCACAACACAACTGAGGGTCCCAACCCATTTATAAGGCAAGAAATCCACTGTGTTTCATAAGTTCGGCCCATTCACCACACTGGGGCACTCAAGGTGCTTTCTGTTGTACATTTATGATAGTGGAATATAGTTTTTGTTTTTTTGTTAAGATGCATAGCCTGGAAGAACTGCATCCTATGCAGAATGTATTAAACTGATCTGTCCTTTTTCAGCTGTTAAGACTCGCCCCATGTTTACTTCCTGCTGTCGGAGCCTGGTGGGATGTGCGGAGTATGTTCAGGAGTGGAGGAACAACTCTGATCAGTGCCTCAAGTGTAGAGATGACCTGCCAAGCTACACAGAAGTAGCAGGACTCGCAGAAGCACTTAACTGCCTGAAGTTAATTGAGTAAATACTTAAAATTTCATGTTAATGTATTATGTTTTTTATTATTTGATTGGTTCATGTTCAATATGTTAAAAGTTTTTGGCCAACTACTTGTTTTTGTTTTTTTGTTGGATCAGTACAGCTATTAAATTGGTTTATATTTCTTCTTGTATTTTTGTCTGAATTGTGCTTCCTGTTTTGTTTTGAAGTCATTCAAACATAACTCTAGTGTTTATCCCTTTTAAAGAAAACAGAACACAATGCAAAAAAGGATGAGCAATGCCTTGTAGAACTATTTACGTAGAAAAATGTTTGACAGTTCTGCTGGTGCAGCAGAAACATAGACTTGAAGAAACTGGCTCTGTGCTGTGAATAGCTCTGGATGTTAGAGCCGAGTCTAGATAGGATGTTGCACAAGCTGCTGTAAGTGAAGAACTATTCACACCCTCTCTACACCACTGAAGAGACAATTAAGTGTTCACCACCAGTGTGTTGTAACATTAGAATAGCTCATGATCAAACAGTCGTTGAGATGGTGCACTAACAATTACCAAATTTAATGGCAAAAATGTTTTTATTATTTTACTAAATGACAGTATAGTTCACTCTCCAGACAGTTGCAGAGAAGTCATATTATT